TTTTTGACACTTGCCACTTCAAGTTGGCTGTCGAATCAATTTTTCCTCTCCTAGCACTTTTCCTCCGTTCTCTTTGGTTGTTCTTTTTTTCTTTTTTTTTGGCTCTCCTTTCCGGCTTGTTGTCCTAGCATGGCAAAGCCAGGGGCCTCGTCCCACTAGCAGCTTTGAGTTTCCTCAACGCTCCGAATCTGGACCTGTTTGTGGAGAGGTGCAGAAAATCCGTTGACTTTCTTCAACCCCATATATCCCCAATTTGGACCCCAAACACACTGCTAGTGGGAGGAGGCCTCAGAAGTCCAAGTTGTTGAGGCTTTCTCCTAACACAACGCACCCTCAGGCTGATGGGTGACTGCATAAAAGCTGTCTTTTTTTTTTCTTTTTTTTTTGCCCTTTTTTTTGTTGGGGGGGGGCAAGTACCTTGAAATCACACCCAACGTTCAGAATAGGCAAATTTAGCAGTTCCCCTAATGGAGCAAAAAAGGAAAACCCCCCTAAATTCGCGAAACCCCACTGCGGGTACTGACTGGCGCAGTTTTAGACCCCCGCTAAACTTGCACATTTCGAAATTGGTACCGTGACACCGGTGCCAGTTTGTCTTTTCTTGCCTAAGTCAAACTGAAAGTGTGTCACAGCCACAGTTTCGTCCTTTTTTTTTGGTTTATTTTTATGAAAAGTAGATGGAGCCTCCCCGACGGTGATAGTGGTGTCTGCTTTTACCAGAACCCCTAGCATTAGCTCGGGCTGTTTCCATGTAAAAAAAAATAAATAAATAAAAATGAAAAGCCCTTCTGCAAGGCCTCTATACCAGTGGTGGTAAGAGAAGCCCTGGAATTGAGGCTCTGCCTGTCGGACTGCTCCATCGATTGGTGGGGAGCCACAACTGCTGGAAACCGGACAAGGTAGTATCTTTCCTGGTGCGATAGAGTCATGATGAGGGTTTGTTGCATTGGGGGAAAGGTGGTATGCCAGCCATTGCCAGGTATGCGCCCTGAGCTTGAACCTGCTAGCATGTATGGTGTTTTTTTTTTTTTTTTTCGGTTTTGGGAAAACTAGGGCGCAGTCAAGTGTTTTTTCAGTTTTAAACCACCAGTACTTGGTAAGTACGCAAAGCGTAACAGCATCACCCAAGCATCATTGTTAGCCAAGGATATCTAGACGTCGACGGTCAGCGGTCTATACAAAACATATCAAATACTAGGCGCAGGAAGAGCGAGCAACGGAGTCGAAGTAGGAATCGCATTTGCACCAGTACTTGGCCCAGCTATCGGCCGCCGCACTTTCCCATTAACGCGCCGCGCCTTTAGGGCTTCGGGGTACCCGAAGCGCCAGCCAAAAAAATTACAAAACGAGGAGCTTCGGCGAAAATTGGCACGCAGGCTCGGCATCCATAGCTGGGCCAAGTACTGGTGGTTTAAAATTTAAATGCGTTTCAGTCAGGGTTTGGACCGAGGAAAATCGTGAATGTATCCAACCCAGCTTTAGGGTTGGGTGGGGATGTGTTGTATTCGAGGGGAACTAGACTTTGCTTTAGTTACCCCTTTTTTTTGTTTGGGGGGGGGGGGGGGGGGGAGGGGGAGAAGAATTATAAAAGGTTTTCCTTGGATACTCCCCAAGAAAACTAGAAATGGAAAAACAAAACAAAAAAGAGAAAAAGGACAACATATTAAAAAAAAAAAAAAAACAATTCTGAAGGTAGTGCCAGTCCGTTAAATGGACAATGGAACCCTCTGGCTTGTAGGGTCAGAGGATTTTTCTTTTATCAAAAAGGGAATTTGAGGCCGGGCATCCGCAACAAACCACCCGGAAAAGTACTGGGACCTTTACCCAGCTTCAGTGCAGGCATCGGGAATCTTCGCTGAATCTGGACCGCTGTCCTGACAACCGCAACCCTGGGAAGAAAAGGAACCACAAGACTACAAATACGAACAAAACAAAATATTGCCGGCCCCATGAAATAATAATAATAATATAATAAATAAATAATAATAATAATAATAATAAAATAATAATAATAAAATAATAATAATAATAATAATAATAATAATAATAATAATAATAAAAATTTGCCGGCCCAGTGGCCCCAAGGCAACAATAGGACAGAAGTAGGTTGGAAAAGCAGGGGTCGCAAGGCCTCTACTGTATTTCTGGCTTTGCCTGCATTAATTGGTTGCTTGATGTCGGGGATGGGTTTGGCCGGAAGTGCCTTGCCCAGCTCCATATGGCCGCGTATTATATGTGAGGGATGCCGGGCGCGGTTCCCAACCAATAATTCGATTTTGAATTTAAATTCCTTAAAGCACCAGTACACCACACATCGGCCCGCGGGTGTCAGCATGAAACCTGCACCACTTCGGAGGCCGCCGTATTTTTTTTTGGGCGGAGGGCCAAGCGGCACCTCTGATTTTTGCTGCTTGTGGCGACTAAAGAAAATTTCTGCAAGGCTGGGGCTGTGTACCAGTGGTGTAAGAAAAAGGGAAAAAAAAAGGCCTCTAGGATGAGGAATTGTCAAGAGAAGACTACAATGCACATCATGATAGTGACAAGCTGGAGACACACTCAAATATGAGGATGCACTCCAATACGACTCAAGAATGTCAACCACAATCATGATTGATAAGAACCAAAAAAAAAAAAAAAAAAAAAAAAAAAGGTCCACACACCGCTCGTACCAACAAGACGCCTTCGAAGTTGGAGGATTTTTGTGACCCTTTTTTGGTTATGGGGTAACAGGGTAGTTATAATTATACTAGGGGGCAAGATACAGTTTGCAATTGCAGTTTGGGCACCCTACCTGGCCAGAAAGCTGGGTTGTATACATTGCCAAAAATGCAATTGGAAACTGTATCTTGGCCCGTAGTGCAGTTATAACTCATTTTGTAACTCTACTGAAATTACCGCAAGAAGGGGAAATGGGGTAACTTCAAAAAAAAAAAAAAAAAAAAAAAAAAAAAGAAAAGAAGAGGTGGTTGGGAAAAAAAGAGAAAAGAGATTCAAAAGAGAAAAAAAGAGAAACTGCATCCTTTTGGTTTGTTTTGCAGGGGCAATGACAATGAAATTTCAAAACAAATGAAATGAAATATACCGAATCCTTTGACCCTGAGTTTTTCTTTTTCTTTTTCTTTTTTTTTTCTGACCTCAAGCAGCTGAAGTAGTCTGAAGGAGTCCCCGCGCCAAGTCTCACTAGCAGCATTGAGTTTCCTCAACGCCCGAATCTGGACGTGTTTGTGGAGAAGTGAGCAAAAGAAGTCTGACCGAGTCCGACTTTTCAAGAATCAAAATCCAAAAAAAAAAGAAAAAATAAGAAAAAAAAGACAAAAAAAAAGAGACAACCATGAATTTGTGTTTTTTTTTTTTTTTTTTTTTTTTAATAATAAAA